TTTTCAACCAATTCCCTTTTACCCCCGTGTGCCATTCCTCGCCTTCCTCCCCGGCTCCCGGTCCGTGAGCGTCGCAACAAAGGGCCGGAGGGACGAGATAATTACCCACAACCAGCGCCTGATTTCTCCCGAGGCCGCCACTACCTCCCCTCCCGTAGCCGCGCCTCCCAAGATCGTCCCACCACCACGAAAACCACACACCCAGAGGCCTATCGTGTCCTACACACCCTCACGGCCTTAACACATTACCTCACGTATCGATATAACCTAACCTGCCCAAACGCGTCGTCATATATTTTTTAAACAGTTCTTAAAATGTGAATCGTGATGGAATGATGTGGTTTATGTTGTATAAAGCATAGTGGAAAACTGGCCTGGGTTTCAAAATAGCGGGACGGCCCTTCACCCGGGTGCGTCACCCTCCACGATTTATTGTTGGTAACTTGTGGTAGACGGATAATATGGGGAAGAACTTGGTGAAACTTAATTTTAATGTGAACAAAGTTAAGACTTTTGAAGGGATACCATAAAAAATAGTCGATTTAAGAGAAAGCACAAAAAATTTCATACATCGTGTATTGCATTGTATTCAAAGGATTAAAAATGATACGGTTGAGAGGAAGGAGGATGTCAAGTAGGGAAAAGGCTAGAGGCTATGGACCCCAGGTCCTTAGACAGCTAATGAAGAGGAATTCACGAGGGAGGGAAGCCATTTGGTACTCTCAAAAGATATTTAAGTCGCTGGATCAATGTTTCCTGACTACTGTACTAGAGAAAACGGAAGGAGGTTTGGATTTGAGTATCTATCTATCTATCTATCTATTTCTCCACGGTCATCTGAAATGAACCTTTATCTTATTTACGAGCAAATATTATGGAATGTATGGGGGCGTGAAAAGGTGATTGGCGTCCAGTGGTAATAATGGGAAACAAAAGCGATGAGTGATCAGTGATCACGCGTGTTGGCTCGCCTACAAGAAACCGTAACGGAGAGAACCTGATCCAGGCGCCAAAACCCGCGCAGTATCGTACCACTTCCCGTCTACCAATGACGAGCCGAGTTTAAATTAGCATTAGGATTTTCAACCAATCACAATGCAATCCTTCAGACACGTTAGGGAGCCAATCACATAGCGTATGTGACGGGTGTGTAAGGCAAGGGCCAGTGAGAGTGGTGGAAGACTGTGGTGAGCCAATCAGGAGCCGAGGCACTGCACACACCTCCCTGCCGCAGCGCGGGAATGTGTAGCCAGCCAAACCTGACCTGCGGCTGTCCACCTTAAAACGCGAGGAAAAACTTGTTCGCCTTCAGTAGCCGGCAGGTAAAAAAAAAAAATACAACGTAGCCACACGAACATTGCCTCCAACTATGTAATTTGTCAGGCAAATATACTGTTTTCTCTGGATACGTGTAATCAGAGAGATTCAATCAAGCTTCCATGAAATGAGCTGCATGAGCAGGACCAACGTAAACACTAAAAATGATTAATGTAAAATTTTTCGCATCTGCTCCAGAGCATAAAAATGTAAACAAGATCACAAGGGTTTGAGGACTGTCACTACCACTACACCACGAAAAAAATCCTCAAATTAGTTGCGAAATTTAAGTTCAAATACCGTAGAGTTTTTTAAACTTTAAATAACTAAAGATTTATAGTTTAATATGCGACTTTCAAACGTATTTAAAAAAAGACATCACGTAGATATGTTGAGGATGGATTAATTAGGAGCTGTGGATAATGTATAGAGCGGATCGTTACTACCTGATCACAAGCAAGGTCCCACAGTATGGAGGTTACGACCACACCCCACTCATCATCCTCGGTACACCTGGCCCACCACTATGTACTGTACACATCCTCCCCCCTCTACTCCCCAGACCCAATACAAGGATACCATTTACGGGGCCGACCGCTTCTGCATATGCAAGAGATGCTTAGATCGTGTTTAGGATTTGCACGATTTTCTCACTCTGATTTTCGGTACATTTTTACTTACTCTTCCCCTTAAAACAACACTACGTTTATGATAATCTGGAAGGTTGCCCAAAATACAACTTCTTTGCATGCAAAGAAGTTGTATACACAGAAGAGGTCTTGGGTGTTCAAACAGTAATGCCACGTAAATATCTTCAAGCTGAGTATTTTATGAAATGTGCGAGACCGGATGTAAACAAACAGACACCGAATCTTTAATTGGTGAAGAGGAGAGTAAGGTAGAGATCATCAGACAGGTATGTGCTGGGTGACGTGGCGACCCACTTCATGCCCACACACTTGTAAACATCACCTTCCCCGCACCCTTCTCTCCCTTCATAATTATGCAACTGTTGTCCCACATGCCTCGCTGTTAGCTCCAGTAGCCTCGTTAACGATTTTATAGCTTCTATCGATAGATTCTATTACATCATAGGACACAGCCAAGAGCACTTACGCTAGTGTGTGTGTGTGTGTGTGTGTGGCAACGTTTCGAGTGTGTGTGTGTGTGTGTGTGTGTGTAAGTGTGTGTGTAGGTAGGTAGGTCTTGACTGAGGGACGGGCTGCAGGCTACTCTCCCGACACACCGCCACGTATGAATATTCCATGATGACTGCTGACGCGTCCGCTCCTAGCTAACTCAATCTACATGGACGAGGGGCACCAGCCTCTCCATTACACTAACTCCAAACCATTCTGGGATGAGACTTAGTTCAAACCATTCTGGGATGAGGCTTAGTTGAGCGCGTTTCATCCCTAAATTTCCAAAGATTTCCCGACAAAGGAGCGGAAAAAAGGACAAATCAAATTGATGGTGGAATAAAATTGACTAACTCCACTTGAGTGAAAAGAAGAATTGGCATCTATACAAATAACTTAAAAATTAAGCCAGATTATATTTCAAAATAGTATTGAAATCCCTTAAAATAAAAATCACATCTTTAGTGATTTATGATTAGGTTAAGTGCTCGTTTCTGCCCGCTCTGATGTGGTGTTCGGGAAGCACTAACTGTACTAAGCGGATGTAGATAAGGAGTGCTTGGGGCTCCACCCTCTGGTTGCAACACCCTTTACCCCCTTGATACTACCACTTATTACACCCTCCTGGTACCATACTCTCCTGTTATTGTACCCTCCTACCATATCCTCCTGTTATTGTACCCTCCTGTTACCATACCTCTTATTGTGCCCCCCCCCCCCCCGTTCCTACACCCTCCTGTTCTCTGACATTGCTCACTACATGTTCAGTATAAGTGAAGATCTGTACTGCACCTGTGTGTGATTTTATACTATGAATGTCTGTACTAAGTGCCTGTGCTTATGTGTATATAAACTTCTAGTGTATACATCAGTGTGCGTACACTGTAAGGGATGATGGACTTAAATAAAAGTACCACGCCAAACATGCAATGGACATCTCAAACATTAAAATTAACTCCTCATGACCTACACCCTGTAGAGCACCGCAGACACTCAGGGAAAAAGTCAACGTCTTCCCCCAGCCCCCACTTTCCCCTGACCCCCCCAACATCACGCCACCATCAGACCACCACAACGTTGCGCTGCAGCAGGTGAGGTGGCAGGCAGTTTGGCACCACCGCATCCTCTGTAGCCGGGAAATTCCGTTCACCAACCGTCAGAATGAGGTTCTTTTTCATTTACATTTGAGGAATTTTGTAAACCAGAAGGGAAATCGGTGTAATTGTGCATATACATCTTAAAATAAAAATCGGGATCATGCTGGCAATAAACTTTGTTTTCTTAAGCTGTTGACTATTGCTAGTATGCCTGTACTGTGTGATATATATGCTGGGTTATTGTGAATTTCTATAAGACGACTGCAGAATGAATAACCATTTACCGGTCTTTCAAGATATTTTGTGGTGACTGTACCGGAAGGTGACCCCGATCCTCCAAGGTGGTGTGGACCACTGAAAAATTTTCCAGCTTTCATCTTCGCTGAGCCAACACTTCGTCAGTTTTACAACCAACTGGAGATATAAGATTTGTTGCCACAGAATCATCCTCTAGACAAAAGCCAAACTTAAACGTTTAACCTTTAGTGAGGCTTTAAAGGTAAGCGTGAGGAGTGTCAGGCCAGGCACAGCCGGTTGGTGGTGGCCAACTACCCAGGCGTGGACAGATGACGTGGGTGGGCGAACGTAGGAGACATATGAAGTAAATCAGATGTATTCATTGAAGACTCGAGAAGGTACATATAAGGCAGGAAAAGAACAGAATCAAATATAGTTTAAAGTATTTAAAGAAACTGAAGCGACGCTCAGAAGCCAAGACAAATCTCACCCATGGTTCAGTGTCTGTGTCATCTTAACGTTTGCCAATGACTCAAACCTGATTGTTTGGCGCCTCCCAGACACGGCTAGCGAGTCGCGCCTTGGTGACCTTGGGAGGCCCAAATCACCCACCACTAGACTGGTTAGCTTGGTGTTGGCAGATATCGAGTATTTTACCTAAAATTTGCTGCTTCTCTCACATGAACTCGAGACGATGCACCACGGATGGACAAGTCTCCGGCCTATCATTGTTCCTTCCGGTGTCTTTGACAGAGTGGTCGACCCATCCCACTCCTGAGTCAGCCACACTGTCCTCAGTACTAACCCCCACACCTACCTTACCCACACATCCCTCTAAACTTTTCCTCAAATAACTTCACGATAATTACCCCTCCAAGAGACATCTCCCTTCACTTAAATACACGGGGTCTTTGTAAGGTGTTTCACATTTGGTCGCTCACTTTATATATTGGCTGCGACTTTGGTCTAAAATTGCAAGAGTTGGTAAAGCCAAGAAACAGCCTCGTGTTGACAGTTTAAACTTGAACACCAAAAAATAACGAAAAGAAATGTGTTTGCTTGAAGGCGTCTAAAGTTGGACCTACACTCAGAACTGATAAAAATGCCATAAATAAAACACAACCTGGAAATACACACAGTACACGGAAGAACGACACTATAAATTGTGGGGTCCTACCTCCTCCACCTAAAACTTGCAGTGGTAACTCACCTTTCATCGCAGCCGCAGTGGTTGATGGTGCCGATGCTCCAGTTCATGAGGCCATACTTCGTTTCGAAGGAGCTAATATAGTAAGGACAGTGTAGGTCATGCTGACGACAACACTTGTCGGCCCCGGAGGAGCCGCCCAGGTCCCCGTACACAGAGGCCGAGTACCCGACGCCGCACCACTTGGTCGTTGGAAACAACCGCAGGTGTTCCAGAACTGCTCGTCGTGACCTGATGCAAAACACACAAACATGCTACTTACCCATGTCCTAACCGCTCCCTCTGGCACATACCTCGGACTCTTCCTCACCTCGCATCGACCGCCAAGCAACTCTGAGAGCAGTTGGGGCCACAGAGGAACGATCAAACAACGAGAGGGGCCTTGTTAAGGTCGCATCGACTACACAAACCCAAACGACAACACAATCCTCCAGCAAACCATCCTCCACTTACCTTTCATCACAGAGACAGTGGGATGCGGTGGTGAGGTGGGAGTTGTAGGTGCCGTACTTGGACTGCAGTCCACCTATGTTCATTGGACAACGGTCATGTTTGCGGCAGCAGGTGTCGGCACCTACGAAGCCATCAAGATCCTTGTAGGAGTGAGCCAGGTCGTTGTTGCCACACCACTTGGTCCCCGGCAGGATGAGCAGCTCGTTCAAAATCCACCGCTTCCGCCTGCGTCAACACCACCGTCAACCCAACTTTTCACCTCACTTGTGTACATCATTATAACCAACAACAACAAATGCCCACCAAAACAGCATAAAGCAACAGTCGCCACGAGGCAGGTCGGCCGTCACCACAAACACATCACAACTGCCACGGAACGCTTCTGCCACCGTGAATACTCTGACCACACTGTACATACAGTATAACATTATTATCAAGTCACCAATGAAGAATCAGAAGGGAAGAAAATTGTTAAGGTGGCCAGTAAGTTTTCCCGATAATTTTTTTTGTACCTAAATAACATTTTGTAATTTAGAAGGGGTATAACTAAGCTTATGTTTTGGTGTTTGTGTGTATTTTTATATCAACTCCCTTTATAACAACTAACAGCATTTGACCTGCACATTCATTAGTGTACATTTACAAGTTTGTTACCAATTCAACATATCACTCGGAAATTATGACCTTGTACTATAAAAAAAAAAGGGAGGGTTCCGATTGCTCATATTTAAACTAACAATTCTACTATTTTTTACGTGGATCTAGTCAGGTTGAATAATTCTTGGGTGAAACTAAAATAACTTTTAAATCAAGATTAAATTCATCCGAAAACGTGGCAAATCATCTACTGCTCAGCGTCTGCATATGGGGTACTGATGCCCCCCAGGGTAGTCCGAATGGGGAAGGCAATAAGGGGGGGGGGTAAGGTTCACCAGTACTAATCAGTTGTTGGCATGACTGAGAGACGCGTTAACAGTGCCAGTTACCCAAAACTATCGTATAGCATTGAGACTGGCATGGGATTAACTATAAGAGGGAGGAGGGGACGAGGCGGGTTGCAGTCAAGCGGAACTAAAATGAATAATCCAGTGCTGAATATAATATGAAAAATAAGAAAAAAAGATCAATTAAATAATAAAAGTATACTATATTACGTATCAAAACTAGATGATGCATTAGAATTACAGTATCAAAGGAGATTGAAATATATTCGGTGAAAGAATTACTCTCAGTTGTTAAATATCAGGACTATGCGAGGGGGAAAATATGGTAATTCCTTAAGGTGAAGTGTAACGAGTTAAGTGTAAAGATACTGGTGGAAGAGGATGTACTGTAGTAGTGCGAGTTACAATATCGTGAGGCTGTTTGTCGAAATAATAAGAAAGTGATGAATATGCGAGTGCATCATCTATGGGTTCAGAAAAGACTTCTAGCTGGGTCGTAGAGACAAAGTTACTGTAGTAAAGTGTCTCGTAATAAAAGGGAGAGTGACTAAATGCTGAAGATGAGTCACGATTAAACGCTCCTGAGGACAAAACTGAAACGTCACTAAATTGGAGTGTAGTTTCTGTATCTTTTTTTGTGTACGGAATCATCAGTGGTTCTGTCTTCATATTCCCTGTGGCAGTTGTCTGTTACCGCAGCAATTGTTGTGGCAGCCGCCTGACGACCCACCAAGGGTGGCTGGCAGACGTGACCTTAGAAGTTGCAGTCTATCCTTATTCGTGCGGCAACTACACTTCCGTGCAAACTGCAGAATGGCAGCCATACATTACTGAACCAACTACAGCGTCTATTTAAATCAAAGTGCTATACAAGCTTCAAACATTTGTGTAAACTGAACAAGTTGTGGGAACTATACTGTATATACTCAAAAATTAAGTTGTCTACAAAAATGTTTCAGCCGATAATATATATATACAAATAATAGGTACTACACATGCAAACTAAAGGCGTAAATCATAGCAATATAATGCAGATAATTTTGCCCTTTGGGGGCATAAATAAATGTATTTCAAGTATAAAAAAAAATCTAATAATAGCATTACTGAAAATAAATCAACAAGGCAAAATCAGAATTCATTGCACTAACATAATACTAAGCATCAATCAGGGCAGGCAATCATTACAACGATTTTACACTAATATACAAACTCCGTGCAAATGCAAAGAAATGTAGAGTAAAAGTTTAGATAAAAAGAATAGAAGAAAAACTAAAAGAAAAAAGTTCAACGAAGAAAACTCTAAATCATGATCTACGTATTGCGTCAAAGAAAACTCTAAATCATGATCTACGTATTGCGTCATTTTTTAATACAAGAACTTAAAAGTGCACTGGCAGATACACCTATACTCGCTACAGTACCATGCATATACCTGTATACTGTAACTGTGGTCAGGTTCTCAAATATTTCTACGATGAATGTTCCTTGTAAATGGAAATGTAAAAAAAAGTCTCAAACTGGTTAATATAGCTTCGACTTTCTAGAGACATTCATTTACCATCAACTGAGCCAAATTATTGTAGAGAACCTTCTGAAAAAGCTTCTCTACCTTATATTTGGCTCCCTACTGATGGCGAGTGATATATCTATACTTGAAGCTTGCAACTGACTATAGTTGAGACAGTGAGAAGTTTATCAACGTAGGGCACGTTTTTGTGCCTTAACCATAACAATAAATTTTGAATATTTATACTCAAGGAACACTCATCGGACATTTTTTTAAGAATTCAGGACCTGAATTATGCAATTCAACAAAACGCGTGACTGAAGCGTTTCTTAAAAAACATTGAATTTAGTTAGAATATTTTCCAATCATTAAAAATTTTAGTTGTTCGCCAAAATTCAGGATGTACATTATCACAAGTCTAGAATTACTACAATAATGGAAATTTTGATAAAAATCCATCTTTTTCTTGTAACCGTGATTTAAATTTAACGATGCATAATCCTGACTAATAATGAAGTAAGATTAAATTAATTAAACGCACTACAGCCCCACTGTTAGTAGCGTGTTGACTGACCGCCGACACTACCAGAGAGGGCAGGTGTCAAGCTCTTCCTTAGATGATCACACCATAACCTGGCTCTCCTAGCCACAACCTGCAAATCTGACCCAAAGACCCGCACCAAATCTTAAATAGAGCCTCAGAAAGCAAGAGAAGAAGTGGGACCTGAATATGTTGAGAAACTGCTCTTAGGACAAGCTAAGAAATAGAACCTCAAGAACACCGAGAAGCAGAACCACCAGAGGTGGACTCGAAGGTGAAACCTCAAGTGGCCTGAAATTCTACAAGAGACACGAGACTATGCGAGGCGAGAGTGAGGAGGCGTGGAAGAAGCAGCTGTAGGACACCACAGAGGGCCACAGTGGCCCTGGCTGCCGACGAGCGCGGCCACTACTACCTATAAGTGGCCGCGCTGGTCGACACCCCTTATATCATATAGTACAAGGCTACGTGCACGCCTAATAAACTCTGACAGTTTAGCTTTTTTTTTAATAATACAGATATGATTCACGACAGTAACAGTACAGTACTACAACTTATGACAGTATGTCTAAATAATAGTTAATATAATAGGTTCAATGTTTAAAACGTATTATATAAAAACATTTTAAACATTTATCACAGGGAAAACAGTACTGCACTTTGCTAATGAACTTTCCACCACTTATTGGCGGACATATCATGCACTTTATGTACAGTATATCATGAGATAATGCACAAATTGCAATGGTTATAGAGAACAGCAAGAGCGACTTACCTCGAGTGTGTCTCCTGGGGTTGGTTGTGCTGGGCTCGCTCCAAGCGCCTCTGTGCCTTCACTGCCTTACGTACACTCCGATGGTGGGCTTTGCACTAAGAATAACCAACGAACGAAACAATTAAACTTTTTTCAAGTTCTTTATGAAACGCTAATTTACTGAAAATCGTACATTTAAATCTTGGTCATATAAATAATGAAGACTAATGAAAGCGGGCAAGAAGTTGTACCTGTGCTCTTAGTTCCCTGAAGTGGGTGATGGGTCTCAGGTACTCAGGCAGCTCACTCTCACTGTCCAGGTGCACGAAGCTTACATTGTGCAGCTGGCCAGACCACGACCCTACAAGATATTACTTTACTCAATGGAGCATTCCACCTTTCATGCCGCCCAAATTATAATACATGATTATTTTCAACTATTTTAGTTCGTACATCTATCGACAGTATATTTGATTACACAATTGGAGTTTTATGTACCAGTGGGGATATTTCTAGCAATTTCCACGTCCGCGTTGAAGGTATCTAAGAAGGGCTCCACCTCGGCGGGGTCAGAGGTAAGCTCACAGTCCCTGAGGGAGAGGCCGTCGACGCTCAGGTGATCAGTCACTTCCCCAACGTATATCAGCGTCAGTAGGTGGCGTCGGTGGCTAACTTGTCTGAGAACCAGCCCGCTGTGGAGGACAAAATGTTGTCATTACTGGAGGTCATTTCATGAAATATGTTTCAATTGCCTGCCTTTGAAACACCTCTCATTCATATGCTACTGTATCTCTCGGATATGGAGGAACTACCAGGTGTGTTTGGGGAGTAGATGAGCCGTGGTGGGGGGGGCAGGTAAAACTGGGTAGTGGAAGGAGGACAATTATATTATCAGACACTGCAGCGGGTAGATCTAATTTCAGTCAGGCATGTGTATGGGACGGAGGTAAAAGAATGCTCGGTACCTGGACTATAGAGTAGGAGTTGGGAATACCAGCACCAAGGCAGAGCGAAGGAAGTGGGAAAAAGCTGGACAACGGTGGAGAGATGAGGTGGGACAGGTATTTGAGGTGTGGCGGAGCCGAGGCGAGATGCTGGGCAGGTTGAATAGGCCAACCAACCCACAAACACACACAAACGATAACCTTACTCACTGTCTCTTAAAATTGGGAACAAATCGCCATACCGTAACATTACTCATAATACTGTACACCAATTTCCAAATGGTTGCAAAATTAACAAGAATATACATCAACCCATTTTTTTATATTTATCAGTTTCGTCTCACTAAACAGAGGACGTGTAACTTAAATGTTTTCTCCCGAAGTAAATAGCAAACGACAACCACAAATCAAAATCGTAGAGAAACACTCCGAGGGTTTTCCAGCTGATTAATCCCGTCTAAACACAACACTGTAAAGCCCCAGAGAAAGTGACTAGGTACGACCCCCCCCCCCCCATATAAGCCTAAGGAGGTTGTGGTTCCCTCCTGTGGTGTGGAGTTAGTGGTCTGCCGGGTGAGATGAAGGTTTTTACACAGGGGGACAAGGTTATCCACTACCATAATAGGATATATTATACAGTATGTCACTTAGATAACGAGAGTTTTCAAAACATTTCATCATGTCACCACAAAATACATCGATAATTTACAGGAACCTGATGTACCCACGTACTAAAACCTCGTACTAGGACCACTGAAGCCTCGTATTAAGACCACTGAACCCTCGTATTAAGACCACTGAACCCTTGTATTAGGATCACTGAACCCTTGTATTAGGATCACTGAACCCTTGTATTAGGATCACTGAACCCTTGTATTAGGATCACTGAACCCTCGTATTAGGCCCACTGAACCCATACTACGATTACACTACTTGTAAACATACCGGGACCACTGATCTTACTGAGTCATGTCAAGGGTTCAAGACTGGCATAATATTGTTTCGGGAACCTATACAATACCCGGTACAAAAGACTAAGAATAAAAATCACCAAAGAACTGTTAAACCGACCGACCTTCCAAACAGAAATTAATATTGGTTGGGGAGATCCATCCGGGACCACCTTACATGACACACGTAATTCTAAATCTCCAGAGACATACTATTAACATATGTACACAGACACACACTAACCTCTCCTATGCGCATATGTTCCAAAGACAACCACAAATTACTATGTTAATTACATACACTTACAGATAACAACTGAAAATACAGGTCAGAACCGGATCACCTGAATGTAAGGCAGCTTGTTTTACCTTAAGAAGCATTACTAGGCTGCTCACGCCTCGCCATGGCCAATATATTAGCCTGGCGAGATTCTTCGTGTAGGCCTATGACCCGCGCCGTCATTACCCAACAAGCCAGATTAGATCCTAAATTTATCTCGAGCAGATTAAGTTCAAGTGGAGGAGGTTACAACTCACTCTCAGTGTGGCCGTCTCTCAGGGCCAAGATAAGGACCGGCACATTCTTACTCCACAGGTTCACACCACACTTGATTAAGGTTCATATCCCTCAACTCAGAATAAAACTTAACTTACACATGCAGCTCTTGTATGGAATAGTTACTTTTCTAAGTGTTGACGCTTACCTCTCGCTGCCCTGGTCCCGGGTAACCGACGTCTGTTTGGCGCTGACACTGTTGTAGTGAAGTCTGATCTCGTGTTGTCCGTCGCTCAGGTTGTCGTGGGCTATAAAATTGGGTATCCTGTGGCCAGCCGCTGATAAACATGAAAGTAGGCAACCGAGGGCACACAGCGCTACACTTAGTAAATTCATTTTCGTTTCTTAAGGTCCAATGCTTCTTTAATATTTATATGTTATGGCAAACTATTCTTTCGAGAACTACAGGAATTTAAGCGTCGGAGGAAAGTTCTAATGGGATATTTCAGTGAAAGGTCTTCCCCGGAGCTTCGACACAGACTCTGCCCTGGTCGGTTTGTATGTAAACTCGCTCGCACGTGGACCTCACTTTTCTACCACTGGTGATCGAGCCTGCAGTTACCGCGTCGTATTTTCTCTACCACGATCCACCCAGAATATATGCTGTAAACCACATTAGACCGAAGCCATATCTTAAGATAAATAATAAATTACAGCCTATTAAGCATAATTGATGATAATGATTCGTATTTAACACAGGACAATCGTAACTAATGGTCAATCTTGCAGCGAGAAGGTGGGCTGACACACAGTGACGTCATAGGTGGTGTGATGTGAGGGGGCGGAGCAAGGGTGAGGGAGGCGGGGGGATAGGAGGGACGTCTTGTGCTGGAGGGTTAGTATGTTTGGGGATAGGGTGATGGGGGTAATTTAGTTGGATCAGAGAATCCCACACTGTAATAAAATAAGGTGACGAATCACTTTTTGTAGCTGTGGTCTTATTCTTAAGCTTTTCCGAAATAGACGATGACGTCCTCTCCCGTTTTCCATACGAGTCCCGTTAACAGCTACTGCCCCGCTTGCTTTGCTCGGGGCGGTTAATTATGAATGAATGACACGTGTACTGGTGTCGTAGTAGCAGCACCATCATAAAAACAATAGTAGACCGACCTTGAGGTGTGTGTGTGTCTGTGTGTGGTCAGTTTTACTCTTTAACCCAGGGGTTTTCAAACTATGGGTCCCGACCCTTCAGTGGGTCGCGAAATAAATAAATTGGGTCGCGAAAATAAATAAGAAAAAAAAATAAAATGGGTCGCGAAAATAAATAAGAACAAAATAAATGCACCATAATTTAGGCTTGGTTATTGTAATGTACACTCCACAGTCTAGGAAGCGACTACAAGGAGAGCAGTGTTTGTCTTTGATTTACTTATTTCATATCATTGCACTTAGGTTTAATGGGTCGCAATTCAAATTGTTGTTCTGGCTGTGGGTCGCAGTAAAAAAAGTTTGAAAAACACTGCTTTAACCTATACAATTTACTTTCCTTGTGTTGTATTATTTCCCATTTTCCCTTCATTCTTACAAAGTTACTTACAGACAGACACACATGGAGTTCTGTGGCCATGGTGTTCTGTGGCCATAGTCTTCAGTGGTCATGGTGTTCTGTGGCCATGGTGTTCTGTGGCCAGTCTTCAATGGCCATGGTGTTTTCTGGCCATAGTGTTCAGTGGCCATGGTGTTCTGTGGCCATGGTGTTCTGTGGTCATGGTGTTCTGTGGCCATAGTGTTCTGTGACCATGGTGTTCTGTGGCCATAGTGTTCTGTGGCTATGGTGTTCTCTGGTCATGGTGTTCTGTGACCATAGTGTTCTGTGGCCATAGTGTTCTGTGGCCATAGTGTTCTGTGGCCATAATGCTCTGTGGCTATAGTGTTCTGTGGCCATAGTGTTCTGTGGCCATGGTGTTCTGTGGCCATGGTGTTCTGTGGCCATAGTCTTCTGTGACCATGGTGTTCTGTGGCCATATGGTGTTCTGTGGCCATAGTGTTCTGTGGCCATAATGCTCTGTGGCTATAGTGTTCTGTGGCCATAGTGTTCTGTGGCCATGGTGTTCTGTGGCCATGGTGTTCTGTGGCCATAGTCTTCTGTGACCATGGTGTTCTGTGGCCATAGTCTTCTGTGACCATGGTGTTCTGTGGCCATAGTGTTCTGTGGCCATGGTGTTCTGTGGCCATAGTGTTCTGTGGCCATGGTGTTCTGTGGCCATGGTGTTCTGTGGCCATAGTCTTCTGTGACCATGGTGTTCTGTGACCATGGTACCCCTGGGTCAGAGAGCGTGGCATCACAGCCCTTACACGTCATTCGTGGCTGACTTTATTTCGCAGGTAATAACAGATCGAGAAGACCCAATTTACCCCCAGCCTGGACGTCACGGCGATCTCCACCCACCCAGCCATCCACCCACCCAGTTACCCGCCCACCCACCCGCCTACCCAGTTGCCCACCCAGCTATCTAATCCTCTCATCAGTTGGTCACTCAACGACCTTTCAACTTGCTCATTCACTGCGCCCCCCCCCACACACACATATTGTCGTCAATCTAGTCAGCCACCCACCTATCTGCTTGTTCACTTCCATGCCCGGCCACCCAATCACCCAGACGCCCACTTATTCTTGTATTTGCTCACCCACTCGCATATTCGACTTACTGTTCACATCGTCACCACCCCGCCCACATTCTCACCTTCCTCCTCACCCACCCACCCCTGCCCACATTCTCACCTTCCTCCTCACCCACCCACCCCCTGCCCACATTCTCACCTTCCTCCTCACCCACCCACCTGCCCACATTCTCACCTCCTTCTCACCCACCCACCCCGCCCACATTCTCACCTTCCTCCTCACCCACCCACCTCGGCCCACATTCTCACCCCTCCTTCTTCACCCACCCACCCCAAGGCCCACATCACCTTTCCTCCTCACTCCACCCACCCCTGCCCACATTCTCACCTTCCTTCACCCACCCACTTCGCCCACATTCTCACCTTCCTCACCCACCCACCTCGCCCACATTCTCACCTTCCTCCTCGCCCACCCCGCCCACCCACCTGCGTGCTCTCCAGAATGGCCAGGTGGAGTCCTCCCATGCATTAGTCTAATTGGTGTTCGCGGCTAACACGTGATCAAGGTATCTGATGCTCTGACACACATAGATGCAGTCGACAGATTGACAGACGGACAGACAGACGGGCAGGTCAGAGGGAGAGGGGCTTAGATAACCAACCAAACAGACAGATAAACAAACAGGCAGTGGGACAATATATAAGAAATTGACAGGCCACAGAGAGAGACAGACAGATAGATAGACAGAACACAGTACAGACAGGGGCTGAAAGAGCCAGACAGACAGACTGGCAGAATTTCTAAAAAGCAAAAGGAATAACAAATGGAGGAAAACACAGACAGACAGACAGAGCAAGTGGCGTGGTCGTGAGTGGACAGTTCCATCATTGGCTGTGAAGGTCGACATGGGGTGAGGCGAGGTAAGGCAACAATTTACTAGAACGCGACAACTGCTAAACATTTTGTGAGTGGGTAATGTGTAGGTGGTGGTAGTGGTGGGTTGGGTGGGAGAGAAGGGAGTGGGAATAGGGTGGTGCGGGGGGGGAGGCGGTGAGAGTGAATTGTGTGAGGGTGTGTGTGTGTAGGGTGTGTGTGTGTGTGTAGGGTGTGGGAGGGTGTATGTGTGTGAGGGTGTGTGTGTGTGTAGGGTGTGGGAGGGTGTGTTGTGGGACAGTGAGGGCAAGGGTGTGTGTTTGGGTGTGGGAGGGTGTGTGTGTGTGGGCGGGTGGGGGTAAGGAAGAGTGCGGTGAATCTCCTGATAACTAATCGCTTTTATTCATTAAGATTTTGTCAATGTAGTGAGAAGCGACACACACACACACACACACACACACACACACACACACACACACACACACACACACACATAAAGTGCCTTAACATATATTCTTTATCTCTTCCGTGTTCAAGTCCTCCTCGACATTAAACACTTGAACCTTTAGTATCCTGTCTCTTGCCCCTTGTTTCAGCAGCCTCCCTGTCCTTCATCTTGGATTTATCACCATCATCACCTCTTTCTGTTCTTCTCTTAGTGTCTGTTTCCTGTTTTATCTATATTTTAAGTTGTTTTGGTGTTGGGTTTTTTCTACGTTGAGACTCTTGTGTTGACATAATGATAACAGTAGACAGAATAATCTACTTTTGTTGTCTTCGTGTCAATCAATCTATTATATGTATCATCCTTTATCAATATTGTTTCCGTGTGTTTGATCTCTCATCATTCACTATCATTCTGAGTGTTGTTACTCCTTCGTTGCCATAAGGATCTGTTACTCCGTCGGTGCCATCAGGATCTGTTACTCCGTCGGTGCCATAAGGATCTGTTACTCCGTCGGTGCCATCAGAATCTGTTATTCCTTCGATGCCATCAGAATCTGTTTCTCCATCGTCGTTTTCGCTAGTCATTCATACACTAGCCCAAGCGACAAACGCTCAGACACACAACCCCCCCCCCACCCCTTTCCCCTTCCATCCCTCCCCCTCCTTCTCTCCCCTCCTTCCCTCCCCCTCCTTCCCTCCCCCTCCTCCCGTAATTTAATCTCCAGTTTTCTTCTCAGGGGGACTCATGTGCTATTGCTTTTTTATTCGCATTGTTGATTCTCTCCCTTGTTTACTCTGACGGGCTCATGGTAGTAAGGAAGACCAGTACAGTGTGTGTGTGTGTGTGTGTGTGTGTGTGTGTGTGTGTGTGTGTGTGTTTTGATTACATGCCAGGTATACGGTTGATGATTTAACCTGACCTGACCTGACCTGATCTGGCCTAACCTAATCTGACCAAACCTAACCTAATCTGACCAAACCTAACCTAATCTAACCAAACCTAACCTAACCAGACTTAACCTTACCTAAACCTAATCTAACGTAATCTAATCAATCATAACCTCAACCTAACATAACATAACCTAATCGTATAACTGGGGAAATATCATAAAACAGACCATCATTCACACGGAAATACAACGCCTATTTCTGTTCCTCATTAACCACATCGAATACATAACTCAACAACAAAAACCACGACATTCCTTACTCTTGGCTGACATGACAACCCCTATAGCTTCTATGTATAAAGGTTAAAAGGTTAAGCTTCACCATCTAGTATGTACAGTTCCCTTCAGTAGTGCGTTTACAGGGGCTCGTCTGGTTTTGTGCAGTGTGGCAGCACTGCTGTGTTTGTTTACATTAGACAGAAAGAAACTCTCATACTATGGAATCAAATTAAAATAATATTAAAACAAATTTCTCAATGTAATGATTTGTGGAATATTTATATGACGAGCCCATGTAAACGCTCTAGTGAAGGGGACTGTACAAATATTGTCTGGAGGTATAATGAAACACACACTGATATAGTGTTTATTTATGGTTCATACAATTACAGGGTCTTGGAAAAAGAATACCCTGATTATAAATGATTATATATATTCAAATCTGGGTGTTAATATTTTACAC